TTAAAGTACCCAATTCCTTTTTTAAACAATACATTTTTTTTTCTGACTGATTTATACTTTTACTTTTTTGTTGTGGTAAACTGTATGAAAATTAACCATTTTAACCATTTGTAAGTGTGCAGTTTAGTGGTATTGTGTTCACATTTTGTGCAGTCATCACTGTCCATCTCTAGTACTTTTTCATTATCCCAAACAGAAACTCTGTATCCATTAAACAATAGGACCCTATTCCTAACCCTCTACACCAGCTGCTGGCAACCACTATTCTACCTTATGTCTCTATTATTTGAGTACTTTAGGTACCTCATATTAGTAGAACCATACAATATTTTCCTTTTGTGTCTTGGCTTATTTTACTTAGCATAATGTTTTCGAGGTTCATCCATGTGATAGCATGCATAGGTATTTCATTTTTCTATAAGGCCGAATGAATATCTGTTGTATGTATGCTATATCCCACATCCCACTTTTTGTTTATTCATTCATTCATTGGTGGATTTTGGGGTCGTTTCCACCTTTGGACTATTGTGAATAATGCTGCTATGAACATGTGTGTTTGAATACATATTTGACCCTTGCTTTCAGTTCTTTGGTATATATACAAAGGAGTAGAATTGCTGGACCACATGATAATTTTACATTTAATTTTTTGGGAAGTCATCTTACTGTTTTCCACAGTGGCCGTACCATTTTACATTCCACCAATGATGCACAAGCACTCCAGTTTCTCCACGTCCTTGCCAACCCTTGTTATTTTATCTTTCTAATAATAGCCATCTTAAAATGGGTGTGAACTGGTATCCCAATGTGGTTTTTTTGTTTGTTTTGCTTTCTTAGTTTTTATTAGTATTTTTGTTGCCCCATGCAGATCAATGTGGTTTTGATTTGCATTTCCCTAATGATTTGGATAGTGAGCATCTTTTCATGTACTTATTGGCCATTTGTATGTCTTCTTTCATGTTTGGTTGTATAGCCTAATCTCTTTTTCTGACCCACTTTCTCCTGACATTTTCAATGCCATTAACAACTGCTCACAACCATAATTTTGAATGATTATGCACTGTCCTGCCTATAATTATTGTAATGTTTTCCAAATGGCAACAACTTTAGGGATAGAACTTTTAGGGAGTTTTAATTGTATATATTATGATAATGAACACCTGAGTACATAAATCTTTTCTTTCTTAAAGATTGATGGCTGGCTTTTGTCAAGGTTAGTTTTCGAATTCTTTATATGCTTATATTTCTAAGTTGCTTTCTAGAAGGATTGTTCTGCAGCAGATTTGCTTCTAATTGAACCCACTCCTTTCTCTACTTTGTAGGTACTAATAAGCAGAGTAAAATTAGCTCAAAAACCAAATTCATCTGTCTGCTTTCGTTACAAATGTTAACTTCTCTAGTCTCTTTCTCTAGTCTTACTCTCATTTCTAATCTCCTCCTTTGTCCTTGTACCTTTTATTCTTCACTTCTATTCTAGCTGGAGTTTGTGAGGGAGCAGAGGTTTTATGTTCAATATATCAATTTACTCAGAGGTCTATACATTTTAAAATTCTGTACATTATGCATAGTCCACATTCTTAGTATTTTTCTTAGGAAAATCTCAGCAGAGACAAACTGAATTGCTTACTTATAAAAGTTATGAGTTGAGGCTGGGTGCAGTGGCTCATGCCTGTAATCCCAGCACTTTGGGAAGCTGAAGTAGGAGGATTGCTGGAGCCCAGGAGTTCAAGACCAGCTTGGGCAACATGGTGACTCTTTCTCTACAAAAAATTAAAAAGAAAAAATTAGCTGGCCATGGTGGAACACGCCTGTGGTTCCAGCTACTCAGAAGGTTGAGGTGGTAGGATTGCTTGGGTGTGGGAGGTCAAGGCTACGGAGAGCCATAATCATGTCACTGCACTCCAGCCTGGGTGACAGAGACCCTGTCTCAAAGATAAAAACAAAATAAAAAAAGGTTATAAGTTGTGTATAGTTAATATTCTAGACCAAGGGTTTGCGAACTTTTTTTCTATAGGACCAGACAAGTATTTTCGGCTTTGTAGCCATACAGTCTTAAATTTTTCTTTTGTTTTTTCTTTTTTTTTGGGGCCACTTTTAAGAAATGTAAAAAAGATTCTTAACTGAAGTCTGTGCATTGGATGTGGCTCGGCCTATAGTTTGCTGACCCCTATTCTAGGTCTATTTGCACAGATCTTGCCAGGCAACATGACTTCTTTTTGATGAAGAGATTCTTTTCTTAATGTCTGTCTTAGTAGAGTTGCAAAGCTGATACTGTCCAGGTGATTTTTTTTTTTTTAATTTTTGAATAAATAAGAGGTAATATTATTTTAATTTTCAGATGGTGATCCGGATAACTATATTGCTTATTATCGGAGGGCTACTGTCTTTTTAGCTATGGGCAAATCCAAAGCTGCACTTCCTGATTTAACTAAAGTGATTGAGTTGAAGATGGACTTCACTGCAGTAAGTATATCTAAACTTTCTTTAAAGGGGAACTTAAGAGAACTTGGGAGAGAGAATTTGTTTCATAAGGTGAGGACTGGCATACTAGATATAACCAGAAGAGATCAAAGCTACACTGATGTAGTGGACTGAGGAGCAAGAGAAATTCAAAATCCCTAGAATCAAAGATCTGTGTGAAAGAGAACAGCAGGTTCATTAAAGGTTTTTTTCAGAAGTCTGGCAGTGATATCAGCTTTGTGGTTTAGAAAGACAAATCTGTGTGGAGGATGGAGTATGAGGCAAGATGTGAGGCCCAGACATGAGTTGATAAAGAGACTGAATTAAGAGTATCAGGTGACTGACAACAGTTGCACTTAAGGCTGTGGCAGGAAGAATAAAATGGGGATTACTTAATTGGGCTATCATTTGTGGTGACAATAAAATGCCAAATTAGCAGAGACATCCTCTGGAACCAACCTACAAGCTTTAGAGGTGGAGAAACTTGTAGTCTAATAGGAAATCCTGATGATTGGCGGGTCACCATAAAGGCTGTGACAGAGGTGTGGGCGGGGAAGTGACTCATGAGGTGGAATTCAGGTGGGGCTTTCAGAGGCAGAATTGACAACCATTGACCAATGAGATAGTTTCTTATTTCCCAGTGTATTTCAGAAGGATTTGAGATAACTGATTAGATATGGGGTGAATATTTGATTTGAAATATTACTAATATTTTCAGATGGAACTCCCAAATCTCAAACATTTATCAAATTTATCTTACACAGCTAAGCAAGCACAACCTTTCATAAAGATTAAATGGCTCATTTTCCTAGTTTTATGATAGTTGAAGTGGCTTTAATCTTTCTTTTTATGTGTATTGACACATTTAAAAGGGTTAGGAAAATTTAATGTACTATAAGAGTAATATATATAAAGTTAAGAGGAATACTTTTATGGCTTGATTGGTCATCAGAGAGTTGGTATTCTTGAAAGAAATGGGATTATACACATTAGAAGAAGAGGGATCTCAGATGAAGAGGGAGAAACTTATGCATGTTAAAAGAGAAGAGGGACTGGTAGAGTCCCAATTTATGCAACTTTTATTGTAGGGCAAAAAGTTATGGTAAAAGCATTTTTAAAAATTGAGATACAATTTATATGCCATCAGATTTACTCTTTAAAAGTATTCAGTGGTCTTTAGTATATTTACAGGTTGTGTAGTGGTCACCACTAGCTACTTTCAGGACACTTTTATCAACCCCCAAAGAAGCTCTGTACCTGTTAGCAGTCACTTCCCCACTTCCACTCTAGCTCCTGGCAACCACTTATCATAGATTTGCCCTTTTCAGATATTTCATATAAACAAAATCACATAATGTTTGGCCTTTTGTGTCTGACTTCTTTCACTTAGCATAATACTTTCAAGGTTCATTCATGTAGCTATCAATATGTCATTCCTTTTTATAGCTGAATAATATTGTATGGATACATTATATTTATATATTGATTTGTTAGTTGATGGGAATTTGGGTTATTCACTTTTTGGCTATTGTTGTGAACATACATGTACTACAAGTTTTTGTGTGGACATGTTTTCTGTTTTCCTGGTAGAACAAAAAGTATTTTTAAGGAATCATACATTAAGAAAAATTATACACATTAATTGGTTCCAGGAATTATTTTTGGTGTCAGGTAAAATGGGCATTGGAAAAATAAATATTTATTAATAACTTGTTTGTTTAGTTTTATTCTTTATGTTTAAAAAATTAGAAATCTATAATCAAGATATTCCCCACTCCCCTTTTTTTCTAGGCAAGATTACAGAGAGGTCACTTATTACTCAAACAAGGAAAACTTGATGAGGCAGAAGATGATTTTAAAAAAGTGGTAAGTTCAATTTGTATTTGACTCTAGGAAGAAGTTATTTTGAGAGAACTTATTGGACCTTTTTTTGATATTATGACAGTTAATTGTAATTTTACAGCTAAGAGTCAATAATCTTAGACAGTAAGTAAATAGAGAATAGCCTGATTTATGTATTTAAGAATCACAAATCCTGAATTACTATTTGGTGGCAGACATCAAAGAATCCTGTTAACAGTTGGAAGGTAAAGTGTACCCAATAGATAAATAATCTTAACTCGGTTTATACAGCTTGCTTATTCTGCTTTGTCTACCATGAGAATCTAAAGATGTCAGCTGAGCTACTTTTAAAGTCCTTATTAGTTAATCCTTATTGGGCATTGGCTCTATCCTTTTGGAAACCCTTCATTGGATTTGAGAGGAATAATGAAACAGATTCTTAAAAGGGAATTTTGCAGTCATCCATTATGGCTGCTTTACAAAGTGTAAAGTGCTTTGGATTTGTTGGGGAATGTTAACAGATTTTGTGTCATTGAAGGGAGTATATACTAAAAAATGATTTGGTTAGACATTTAGCCAGTCTTTTTATGCCCTCATTTTGCTTGTTTTAAAGACCAGCATTTTTGTTTTACATGGATTTGTTTCTGGAGTGGTCTGGAAAGGGTATATAAGCCACTGCTTATTATTTGTATTTTTTGTAGTTTATGGAAATGCTTAGTTACTATGATGATAAACACTATGAAAAGAAAACGAAAATTTCTTTTTTTTTTTTGAGACAGAGTTTCACTCATGTTACCCAGGCTGGAGTGCAATGGCGCGATCTCGGCTCACTGCAACCTCCGCCTCCTGGGTTCAGGCAGTTCTCCTGCCTCAGCCTCCTGAGTAGCTGGGATTACAGGCGCGCGCTACCATGCCCAGCTAATTTTTTGTATTTTTAGTAGAGACGGGGTTTCACCATGTTGACCAGGATGGTCTCGATCTCTTGACCTCGTGATCCACCCGCTTCGGCCTCCCACAGTGCTGGGATTACAGGCTTGAGCCACCGCGCCTGGCCGGAAAACGAAAATTTCTAACATGGTCATAAGCCTTGTCACAATACTCTGTCATCTGTGGATAAATCCAAAAACATTAGATTTAATTGTATTGGATCAGAAACGGCCTCATGGTCTCAATAAAATTGGCTATCATATTCTTTTTATCTGATCTCCCCTCCTACTTGGGAAGATGCTTGAGAACAGGCTGAAGACCAGGTGGTGGGGAGGTGATAGTGCTAGAGTAACCTTTCCCTAGCCCAGGCCTTCATTCAGAGAAGGTGTTGCATAAACATCTGTCAAATGGATGAATGAATTATAAAACATGAGAATGTGTTTCTGCTTCTAGCAGATGCTTAAATCTGTTATTTAGATTTTTTTTTTCCAATTACAACTTGAGTCTTTTAGAAGTAACATAATTTAGGGTAGAGTTTTAGCACAAATTAATCCTTACTGGGTATTGGATGTATTCTTCTGGATAACTGAGATCTTGGTACCTTGGTTGTGTCTTGGGTTAATGTCTTTTCTGTGATCAATATTAAAACTTCTCAGAAACAAGAAGAGGTTCTCAGAGACTTTCTACTTTTTAGATTGCTTTTTGACAGTCATACTTCAGCTAGTGTGATCTTAAAACTACTCTTAGTATTGTTACATGGATTCTTCCATGAGAATGTATGTCTGTATTGAACAGTCTTTTAGTTTTAATTGAAATTTTTATTGAGATAATTGTAGATCCACATGCAGTTGTAAGAAATAATACAAAGAGATTCCAGGTACCATTTACCCAGTTTTCTCCAATGACAAAGTTGTTTTTATAGCTATGAATTTATCTATAGTATATAACTATAGCACTATATCAACAACAGGATATTGACACTGATACAATCTACCAATCTATTCTGATTTCCTCAGTTTTCCTTGTATTCATTTCTTTGTGGTATGCACTTCATATACTTTATCACATGTGTTGGTTCGTGTACCCACCACCATAGTCAAGATGCTGATTTGGTATTCTATTACCATGGGAATCCTTCCTGTTACCCTTTTATAACCATACCCATTTCTATCCCACCCTGCTCTGGCCCTCTAGCCATACTTTCTGGCATCCACTAATTTGATATTCATTTCTTAAATTTTGAAATTTCAAATATATAACTGGAATCAAGTATTATATAACCTTTTAGAATTGACTTTTTTTACTCAGCATATTTTTCTGGAGATTTATCTAGATTTTTACATATCCCACTTAGTTTGTTCCTTTTAGATACTGACGGCCATTTGGGTGGTTTCTGTTTCTTGGCTATTGCAAATAAGGCTGCTGTGAACATTCCTGTAAAGATGTTTGTGTGAATGTGAATTTTTGTTATCCTTAGGATAAATGCCCAGGAGTGCAGTTACTGGGTTGTTTGGTTATTGCATGTTTATTTTGTAAGAAACCGCTGAATTGCTTTCCAGAGTGACCATACCATTTTACATTCCTCCACATTCTTGCCAGCATTTGGTATTGTCATTATTTTTTATTTTGGCCATTCTGATAGGTGTGTTATTATATTGTGGTTTTAATTTGGATTTCCCTGACTACTAATGATATTGAACATCGTTTCCTGTGCTTATTTGCTAACACCTGTGAATCTTTTTCAATGAAATTTCTGTTCATGTCTTTGCCCATGTTCTAATTGGTTTGTTTGCTTTTTTATTGTTGTGTTTTAAATGTCCTTTATATATTTTAGATACTTTGTTGGATATGTGGTTTGCAAGTATTTTCCCTCAGTCTGTAGCTTTTGCTTTCATCCTCCTCACAGGGTGTTAAATAGAACAAAAATCTAATTTTTAAATTAATACATAATATTTGTGCATATTTATGGGGTACATGTGATGCTTTGTTATATGCATAGACTGTATAATGATCAAGTCAGGGTATTCAGAGTATCTGTCACTGAATATTTATCATTTCTGTGTTTTGGGAACATTTCACCTCCTCTCTTCCAGCTATTTTGAAGTGGACAGTATATTGTTAACTACACTACTTTGCTATTAAACATTACCACTTATTCCTTCTAACTGTGTTTGTATCCATTAACTAACCTCTTTTCATCTCCCCTCCCACTGACACACCTTTCCCATTCTCTAGTACCTATCATGTCTATCATTCTACTAACTCTGTGAGATTAATATTTATTTTTTTTAGCTCCCACATATGTGCGAAAACATGCAATATTTGCCTTTCTGTACCTGGCTTATATTTCACTTAATAACCTCCAGTTCCACTTATGTGGCTCCATATGAACATGATTTTGTTCTTTTTTATGGCCAAATAGTATCCCATTCTCTCTTGCTCTCGCTGTCTCTACACATACACACACACACACACACACACACACACGCCCCCATATTTTCTTTATTAATTTATCTGTAGATTAGGCACACTTGGTATGATTGCATATCTTTACTATTGTGAATAGTGCTGCAATATGGGGGTACAGGTATCCCTTTTATATACTGATTTTGATTGTATAGTACTGTTTTTAGTTTTCTGAGAAATCTTCATACTGTTTTACATAGTGGCTTTACTAATTTACATTCCTGCCAACAGTGTATATGAGTTCCTTTTTCTCTGCATTCTTTCCAGCATCTATTATTTTTTGTCTTTTTATAATGGCTATTCTAACTGGGTGAGGTGTTCTCATTATTATTTTGATTTGCATTTCCCTAATGATTAGTGATGTTGAACATTTTTTCATATACCTGTTGGCCATTTTTATGCCCTTTGAGAAATGTGTGTTTATGTCCTTTGTCCATTTTTAAATAGGATTGTTTAATTACTGTTGACTTCTTTCAGTTCCTTGTATATTCTGTATAGTTGTTGCTCGTTGGATGAATAGTTTGCATATATTTTCTCCAGTAAACAGCTTCTTTGTCTACTCTGTTGATTATTTCTTTTGCTGTGCAGAGGCTTATTATTTTTACTTTTTGAGTTGGCGTCTCACTCTTGTCACCTACGCTGGAGTATAGTGGCATGATCATGGCTTACTGCAGCTTCAAATTCCTGGGCTCAAGTGATCCCTCCACCTCAGCCTCCCAAGTAACTGGGACTACAGCTGTGCATTACTAGGCCTGGCTAATTTTAAAACATTTTTTTTGTAGAAATGGGATCTTGCTATGTTGCCCAGGCTGGACTTGAACTCCTAGTCTCAAGTGATCTTCCCACTTTGGCCTCCCAAAGTGGTAGGTTTATAGGTGTGAGTCACCATTTCCAGCCCAGAGATTTTTGGTTTAATATAATACCGTTTGTTTATTTTTGTTTTTGTTGCTTGTGCTTTTGAGATCTTGGACATAAAAGCTTTGTCTAGACCAATGTCTTAAAGTGTTTTCCCTGTGTTTTCTTCTAATAGCTTTATGTCGGGGACCAGCCCTGACACAGACCGTGAGGGTCGCAAGGGACGGCAGAGACAAAGAAATGAGAAAGACGAGTGCATAAAGTGGGGATCAGGGGCCAACGCAAGTATGGAGGCTGCGAAGGCCCCGAGCTCTGGAGACCCACACCATTTATTCGTACAGGACACAAAGCAAGAATGTGATAGGCGTGTGAGGGGAGATAAAGGAATGGTGGTCAGGCAGGTGATCTGTAGCTAGGGCCATTTGGCATTTCCTTTGAGGCATAGAGAACAAATTGTATTCTAGATTAAATCATTAAAAAAGCTAGAGGGGCCATAGATAGGAGTCAGCAAGTCTGGTCGCATTCTTGTGCTTCAAAGAGGCAATCCTCCCTTGAGCACAAAGCATGTGTTCTATAAGCACTTTCTTTCTGATCCAGATAAGCAGGTTATGCCACAACATTCCTTCTAGCAGTTTTATAGTTTTAGGTCTTATGTTTAAGTCTTTAAGGCATTTGTGTTGATGTTTGTACTTAGTGAGAGGTAGGGATCCAGTTTCAATCTGCTGCATATGGATATCCAGTTTTCACAGCACCATTTATTGAAGAGGGTGTCTGTCCTCTCCTCAATGTATGTGCTCAGCTCCTTTGTCAAAAATCAGTTGCTGTAAGTACATGGATTTATTTCTGGGTTCTCTAATCTATTCCATTGATGTATGTGCCTGGTTTTATATCAATACCATGGTGTTTTGATCACTAAAGCCTTGTAATATAGTTTGAAGTCAGGTGGCATGATATCTGCTTGTTCTTTTTGCTCAGGATTGCTTTGGCCCTTCAGGCTCTGTTTTGGATTCATATGAATTGTATGATGGTTTTCTCTTTTTCTGTGAAATATGACATTGATATTTTGATACAGATATCCTTGAATCTTTCAGTAGTGTGGTCATTTTAACAATGTTAATTCTTCTGATTTGTGAGCATAAGATGTCTTACCATTTGTTTTTGTCTTTTTAAATTTCCTTCATCAGTATTTTGTAGTTTTCTTTGTAGAAGTCTTTTAATGCCTTGGTTAAGTTTATTCCTGGGTATTTTATTTTTATTATTGTTATTGTAAATGAGATTGCCTTCTTAATTTCTTTTTAAGTGATTTTGTTATTGGTGTATAGAGATGCAATTAATTTTATATGTTGATTTTGTATCCTGCAACTTTACTTAATTAAAAAGAAATAGTTCTGAGAGTTTATTTTGGAATCTTGGTTTTTCTAAATATAAGATCATGCCATCTGCAAAGAGGGACAACTTGACTTCATATATTTCAATTTGGATGCCTTTTATTTCTTCCTCTTGCGTGACTGGTCTGCCTGGGATTTCCAGTACTATACTGAGTAGGAGTGGTGAAGGTGAGCATCTTTGTCTTGTTTGAGTTCTTAGAGGAATGGCTTTCAGTTTTTCCCCATTCACCATGATGGTAACTGGATTTGTCATAACGGTCTTTATTTTGTTGACATATGTACCTTCTGTGCTTAGTTTGTTTAGAGTTTTTGTCCTGAAGAGGCTTTGAATTTTATCAAATGCTTTTACTGTATCTGTTGAGATGATCATATGTTTTTTGCCCTTTATTTTGTCCATGTGATGTATCACATACTGATTTCTAAATGTTGAACCATTCTTAGATTTCTGGGATTAATCCCGCTTGATCATGGGTCTTATGTTTCTTGTTTTTGTTTGAGACAGGGTCTTGCTCTGTTGCCCAGGCTGGATGCAGAGGTGTGGACATGACCCACTGCAGCCTCAATCTACTGGGCTCAAGTGATCCTCTGGCCTGAGCCTGCTGAGTAGCTGGGACCACAGGTGTGCACCACCATGCCTGGCTAATTTTTTGTCTTTTTTTTTCGGTAGAGACTGAGCTGCACTTTGTTGCTCAGGCTAGTCTCAAACTCCTGGGCTCAAGAGATCCTTCTGCCTTGTCCTCCCAAAGTGCTGAGATTATAGGCATCAGCCGCTGCACCCAGCTGGTGTGTTTTTCCTTTTTGGCATGCTATTATATTCAGTTTCTAGTATCTTGTTGAGGATTTTTGCATCTGTGTTCAACAAAGGTAATGGCCTGTAATTTTCTTTCTTTGTTGTGTCCTTGTCTGGTTTTGGCTTTAAGGTAATTCTGGCCTCATAGAATGAGTTAGGGAGAATTCCCACCTCTTCAGTTTTTGTAATAAATTGAGGAGAGTTGGTATTATTTCTCCTTTGTATACTTGGAAGAATTTGTCAGTGAATCCATCCAGTCCTGGGCTTTTCTTTGTTGGGAGATTTTTAATTATTGATTTAATCTCGTTACTTTATTCAGGTTTTCTGTTTCTTCCTGGTTCAATCTTGGTAGGTTGTAGGTTTCTAGGAACTGATCCATTTCCTCTAGGTTTTTCAGTTTGTTATTAGATAGCTGTTAATAATAGTTTTTGGGGAATTTTTTAATATTTCTTGGGTATGAGTTACAACATTTCCTTTTTGTATCTGATTTTGATTATTTGGGCCTTCTCTCATTTTTTGTTGGTTAATCTAGTTTGTGGTTTATCAATTTGCTTATCTTTTCATAAAACCAATTATTCGTTTTTTTGTTCCCTTGTGTTGTTTTTTAGTCTCAATTTCATTTAGTTCTGTGATCTTTATTATTTTTTTCCTTCTAATTTTGGGTTTGGTTTGTTCTTCCTTTTTTAGTTTGTTTCTTGGGATGCATGTTATATTGTGTATTTGAAATCTTTTTTTTTTTTAATGTATGTGTTTATTGCTATTAACTTTCCTCTTAGCACTGCTTTTGCTGTATTTCATAGGTTTTGATATGTTGTGTTTCCATTTTTGTTTGTTTCAAAAAAATTTTTTTTTATTTCCATCTTAATTTCTTGTCCCCGTGGTCTTTCAGGAACATGTTATTTAATTTTCATGTATTTATTTGGTTTCCAAAATTCTTTTTGGTATTGATTTCTAGTTTTATTCCAGTGTGGTGTGAGAAAGTACTTACATGATTTTGATATTTAAAAATTTGTTGGTACTTGTTTTATGGCCTACTATGTCTCTCCTTGAGAACGTTGTATGTGCTGATGAGCAGAGTGTATATTCTGCTGTTTTAGGGTAAAATGTTCTGTGAATGTCTGTTAAGCCTGTTTGGTCTAAAATTCAGTTATAGCCAATTATTTTTGTTGATTTTCTGTCTGTATGATCTATGAATGCTGAGAGTGGGGTATTAAAGTCCCCCACTATTATTATCTTGGAGTCAGTCTTTCCTTTTATATCTAGTCATATTTGCCTTAACATATATGAGTGCTCCGGTATTGGGTACATATATATTTAGAATTGTTACATCCTCTTGCTGAATTGATCTGTTTATCATTATATAACGCTTTTGTCTTTTTGTGTTTTTTTTTTTTTTTTTTTGAGACAGAGTCTCGCTCTGTCACCCAGACTGGAGTGCAGTGGCGCGATCTCAGCTCACTGCAACCTCTGCCTTCTGAGTGCAAGTGATTCTCCTACCTCAGCCTCCAGAGTAGGTGGGACTGCAGGTACACACCACCACCTGGCTAATTTTTGTGTTTTTAGTAGAAATGGGGTTTTGCCATTTTGGCCAGGCTGGTCTCGAACTCCTGACCTTAGGTGATCTTCCTGCCTCGGCCTCCCAAAGTGCTGAGATTGCATGTGTGAGCCACTGTGCCTGGCTTTTTTTTTTTTTTTTTTTTTTTAAACTGTTCTGTCTTAAACTGATAAATCCATTTTATTTCAATATAGCTATTCCTGTTTGCTTTAAGCTTCCATTTGCCTGAAATGTCTTCTAACCCTTTACTTTCAGTCTTCAAGTGTCTTTACAGGTGGAGTGAGTTTTTTGTAAGCACCATAAAGTTAGATCAATTTTTTAAAAAATCCATTCAGTCAGTCTTTTAAGGGGAATATTTAATTTGTTTAAATAACCTTGAAAAGTTATTATTGAAATGTGAGATTTCGTTCCAGTCACATTGTTAATTGTTTTCTGGATGTTTTGTATATCCTTTGTTCTTTTCTTTTTCTCCTATTGTTTACCATTTTAGTTTGGTGATTTTCTGTAGTGATAAATTTGAACCCTTTCTTATTTGTGTGTTTGCTCCACCAGTGAGTTTTATACAGTGTGTTTTCATAATAGTAGGTACTATTCTTTGCTTCTAGATTTAGGACTCCCTTAAGCATTTCTTGTAGAATTGGTTCTAGTGGTGATGAACCTGTCTGGGGAAGACTTTATTTTTCTCCTTCATTTATGAAGGATAACTTTGCTGGGTATAGTATTCTTGGCTGACAGTTTTCTCTTAGCACTTTGAGTATGTCATTCCATTGTCTCCAGGCCAGTAAGATTTCTGCTGAGAAATACTCCCATTAGTCCAATGAGGTTTCCCTTATAAGTGACTAGATGGTTTTATCTTCTGTTTTCAGAACTTTCTCCTTGTTTTTGACTTTTGACAGTTTGACTATTATATGCCATGGAGAAGTCTTTCTTGAACTGTATCTGTTTTGGGTTATCTGAGCTTTCTGTCTGTGGATGTCTAACTCTTTTGCTAGACTTGGGTTGTTTTCAGCTATATTTTGTTAAGTAGTTTTTTTTTTTTTTCACTGTGGTTTTTCTTCACCTTCTGTGACAACAAAAATTCAAATATTTGGTTACTTTATGGTGTTCTGTATGTCATGTAAGCTTGTTTATTCTTTTTCACTGCTTTTTCATTTTCTTTGTGATTGCATTGTTTCAAAGGACCTGTCTTCAAGTTCTGAAATTCTTTGTTCTGTTTGGTCCAGTTTATTGTTGAAGCTCTTAAATTTATTTTAAAATTTCATTCAGTGAATTCTTTAGTTCCAGTATTTCTGTTTGATTCTTTTTAAAAATGATATGTATCTCTTTTATACATTTTTCCTTCATATGGGTTGTTTTTCTAATTTCCTTGTATTGTCTATTTGTGTTCTTTTATAGCTCACTGAGCTTCTTTAATATCATTATATTGAATACTTTTTGTGTCATTTCACATTTCTTTTACATTGGAATCTGTTGCTGGAGAGTTATTGTTTTCTTTTGGAGGTGTCATATTTCATTGCTTTTTCATGTTTAAGTCCACAGGTTGATATTTTTGCGTCTGTTAATAATGTAACTGTCATTTCTTTCAGTTTTTTTGATTTGCTTTTGTAGGAGAGGACTTTTTCCTGAAGATGTATCTATGGTTTTGGTTGGGTAGGGCACTTTGGCTTTGATTCTTGATGTGTGTAGTAGCATAGTCTCCATATAATTTATCTGGCTGTAATCAGTGTCAATGGTGTCTGTGATTTCTTCAGTGGCTTAGGGTGCAGCTTTTAGTGGAAGCTGTTCTGTAGTTTTTCTGGGGATGGGGATGCCAGATAACCCAGTTGTTGGTCTCCAGTAGGGCCAATGGCAGGCCAAACACGCTTAACTTAGGGCTCCAAGGAGGCGCATGCTGGCATTTATGTTAGTGGGTCCAGGTGGACCAATTCTGAGGCCTCCAGGTGGCCTACTTTGGTACAGGGAATGGCAGCAGTGGACCAGACAGGTAGGTGGGTCCTTGGGCCCCTGGGCAGCAGTTGTGGCCTGGACAATGACAGTAGCAGTGGTAGGACAACCCTTTGGATCCCAGCTGGTCTGTGCTGGTCTTGGCAGTGGCTACACTGGGCTGAGTGGGCCATTTCCAGGCCACAGATGGTGTGTCCTGGTGTGTGCCACCTGTGGTTGTATGGCAGGCTAGGTGGGTTCACCCTCATGCTCCAGGAAGGAGTGCTTAGGTGCCAGTGGGTGTAGACTGGGCAGAGAAATCCCTACGCCTCAGGATAGTATGCTTTGGCACTTGGGCAGAGGCAGGGGTAGTGAGCCATGCAAAGCAGAACTTTCCTCAGGGTCCCCTGGTGATGTATACAGGTGCTGGCTGTGGCATGTAAAGGTGGGGTGATCTCCAGACTTTCAGTGAAGTGCTTAGGTGGGAGCAATAGTGGCTGTGCTGTAGTTCTGCTACTGCACTTTCAGTGGCAACAGCTGTAGGCAGGTGGCTGGTGAGCACACACTTTGTCCCTAGGTGGTGGCTGTGGGCAAGAGAGCCTGTGCTCAGTACATTTAAAAATGTGTAGCAATCCTGTTCCTGGGGTGGGGTCTTGATGCCAGTGGCTTGTGCTTGGCTCTGGTGGCAGCCACCACCTGTAGTGGCATCTGCAGGTGGGGGATGTCAATGGAGCACAATGGATGTGGAGATGCAGGAACTGCTGGGTGGGCCCCAGGGCAGGATGCAGCCTGGTAAGGGCTGTGTTCTTACAGGGGCACCATGTTATAGGTGCATAGGATTTGGAAGGTGCATAGGACCCAATGTTATCTCCTTCTTTGGAGCAATGCCATCATGCAGTCTCCAGGCAGCTGGTTTTAACCTGAAACTATTCAGGGCCCACAAGGGTTGAGGGGCTCTCCAGCTAGGATTGGAGGAGTCCACAGTGGGAATGTGGACTGCTGGGGATCACTTACTTACTCTTTCCCCGCATTTGGAACCTCTTTGGGCTCTTATCCTAGCCAAGCAGGCTGCTTCGCTTCTCTCTTCTTCCTCTTCTGAGGTGTTTCCTGTTCTCTGTTGGGACTCCAGTGTCTTCTCCTAGATGACCTATACTTGCTATTTAAGTTCTTCCTTATGAAGAAGGTGACTTTCAGATGCCTCTAGTCAGCCATCTTTGAATGCCTTCCTCAGTCTTTAAATTTGATGAAGTTCAATTTGTTGATTTTCTTTTCACTTCTATGGACTGTGCTTTTGGTGTCATGTCTAAGAAGTATTGACCAAGCCCTAGGATCTAAAACTTTTCTCCTATGTTCTAAAAGTTTTATGGCTTTATGTTTTACTTTTAAGCCCATGGTCTGTTTGAGTTAATTTTTGTATGATGATATGAGGTTTAGGTCGAAGTTCATTTGTTTTGGCTTTAGATAGCAGATTGCTTTTGATATCTGCACCATATTTTGAAAAGGCTTTCTTTCGTTGAATTGCTTTTGCACCTTATTCAAAAATTAGTTGGCTGTACTTTTATGGGACTATTTCTAGGTTCTTTGGTCTGTTCCTTTGATCTATATGTCTGTCCCTTTGTCATTTCTGCACTCTGTTGATTAGTAGAGCTAGACAATATTAAAAGAAAAACTTTTGAGAATTTAAACTTAGCAGAGTTTATTTTAGCAAAGAATGATCAGTGAAGTCTGCACTCCTCACAACCAGAAAAGGTTCACAGAGATAGATTCCACAATGTGGCCAGTGAGTACTTACAGACGAAAAACAGAAGTGAGGTACAGAAATCATTTGATTGGTTACACCTAGGCTTTTGCCTTATTGGATATGATCCGGTCAGTTATCTGCCTGTGATTAGTGGCAAGGTTGGCTGCTTATGATTGGCCAAGACACGACTGCTTATTACATTCTTGAGCTAGGTTTTCAATTTAAGTTAGGTTGTAGTTCATTAGGTGGGAACTGAAGGTATGGAGACAGCCTCATGCCAGTGGCCTCCTGCATATTTATTGATTGATTGATTGAGATGAAGTCTTGCTGTGTTGCCCAGGCTGGAGTGCAGTGGTGTGATCTCGGCTCATTGCAACCTCTGCCTCCTGGGTTCAAGCAATTCTCCTGTCTCAACCTCCCTAGTAGCTGGGATCATAGGCGCTCACCACTATACCCAGCTAATTTTTGTGTTTTTACAAAAGAGGGTTTTGCCATGTTGGCCAGGCTGGTGTTAAAACTCCTGACATCAAGTAATCCACCCACCTTGGCCTCCCAAAGTGCTGGGATTACAGGCATGAACCACTGTGCCCAGCACCTCCTGCTTATTAATAGTAGTTATCTTTAATATTAGGTAAAGTGGTTCTTTTCTACTTTTGTTCTTTGTCAAAATTTTTAAAGATATTTTAAGGTCAGTGTCTTTACATATAAATTTTAGAATAAACTTGTCTGTGGTTATAAAAAGTCTTGAGATGTTTGGATAGGAGTTGTAATAAACTTACAGATTAATTTGGGGAGAATTGACATCTTTATTATGTTGAGTCCTCCAATCCATGAATGTAGTAGGGATGTCTCCATTTATTGAGGTCTCCTTTGATATCTTTCATCAGCAATTTATAATTTAATATACAGATCCTGTATGTGTTTACATTTTTTTTAAAAAAAGATTTAAATAAATTTTTATTTTTTAGCATGATTGTAAATGGTATGTTTTAAATTCCAACTTTTACATGGAATGATATTTTTGTGATTATTTCATAGGAAAGTACTCAACTTGTACTTAATTCTATGAGAGAAATCTTAATGGGCATTAAGATGGGAGACCAAGTTAAGTTTCAAAACTACAAGTCATTTTTCAAAAGTTATATTAACAACAATTTTGTGTGTGTGTAAGAATAATTATAATTAGAATGGATTTGGTTTAGAGAAAAATAAAAGCACAGAATTCATATGTTTCAGAAATATTTTATGTTAAGCTTTGTTTGAAGTAAGTTTAGGTTATCTGGAATATTTTGTCCAAATTCATTGTAGGACTTAAAATTCACATTAATAATTGGCAAATTCATATGTGTGTACTTTGATCAGGATGTATAGTCCTGCTCAAAGGTGGTAGAGAGGGAGACAGAGGGTCATGTAATTGGAATGCTGAGAAAAATTTATTTAGCATCTTAAAAATTGATTAAATTACAAGCATTTGGAACCTCCATTCTATAGGACAGATGATAAAATAATATTATCAGTAGGGTAACACAAGAAATACGAATTCAAAGCCAGTGCATACAATGTTCATTCTTCCAGATAAAGAGACGAATATTAAAACTGTTCAGAGACCACTGGCCATTAAGTTTAGCAAAAATCAGTACATATTTCACAACCTAATATTGATAGGTCTTAAAGGAAATGGTTCCAGTCATATACTATGTTGACCTTGCAAACATAAGCAGAGTTTTTGTGGCACAGTCTAACATTAAGTATTATAAAAGAAAAACATTTTGCCCAGAGATACTTATTGGGGATCCATTTGCTCTGGAAAGAAACTATTAGAGAATGTTGTATCTATATAATAGAGTGATACTCATTAATAGGAATTATTTATGTAAGGGTTTGTTTTTTAGGCTTGGGCATACATAATAACATCAATACAATGACAAAATAATAATTGTAAATGTTGATAACTACATACAATTTTATGTCTGTTCAATTGATATGATTGAATGACAGTTATTTAAAGTTTCTAGCTCTTTCCCCTTGTGAGTGTTGTCAGAATCAAAATGAAGTCACTTGCATCAAACCCTAACAAAAAAAAAAGCCAGAAGGTTAAGAAAGGAGTCCTCACACACGTGTTTATTATGAGAACTGCTACACAGCTTCTCTTAGGGCTCTTCTGCACATACGTCTGTAATAAGAACTTTTGCCAGCAGCCCCTGCATCTCTACATCCATGAAGCCCTGTTGACATTCCCCACCTGCAGTGGCCACTGCAGCTCAAACTGCAGCTTGCTACATGAGTCACAAGGATAGCTAGCTGGATGCACAAGAACACTTGACTGACACAGTCTCCCCTGTATCCAATGTTCTCTTTGTTTCCAAACAAATTGCCTATGCTTTTCCCTTTTGCCTTTAAAAGCTTCTCCTGGTTTCAACCTGTTTGGTTATGCCTGTGGTCTGTATAGCCCGCATATGCTGGATTTGCATATTGCCTGCACACTCCTGAATAAACTCAGTACCTTTGGAGAATGCTTGTTATTTAGGTTGACACTCTTGTAAAGTTGTATTTGATACATTTTGAAGAAAAAAGAAAAGCTGTGGAAAAAGAGGTAGGAACCTTGAGTTTTAGATCTGACTTTGTACTTCAGCCATGGTT